CCCCCCCACACACACACACACAGAGAGAGAGAGAGATGGTACATCGTTTCGCTTTCTTGGTTCTCCTGCGGCCTTTCTTCTCATTTAGGTCATCAATTCGACAGTTGAATTGATCAGGCGTGCTGACCTGGACGGCATGAACTTTGAGTGGCTGTTTCCTGGGGGAGGGGGCGACACGCACATTCCGTCCTCACCAGACGACTGGGTCAACTACATCACATTCCTGAAGGAGCTGCGGCAGACCTTCAATGCCAATCAGGACAACAAACATCTCGACATATCGATCACAGCTGGGGTCGCCCCGCTAGAGGCAAGTTCTGACCTGAACTGGTCCCTCTCTCTCTCTCTCTCTCTCTGCCTCCATCCATCCATCCATCCACCTTTGTCATGTGTGTGCAGGTGCGCAACAACACGCCGATATCCGAGCTTTGTGCTGGGTCTTTTCTGGACTTCATCAGTCTCCTGACGTATGACTTGCACGGCCCGTGGGATAACATAACCGACTACGACAGCCCCCTTCACGCAGACCCCGATGACCCAACAGTCGGAAAGGAGCTGCTCACTGTGGAAGACGTTGTACAGGTAGGTGGCTTTCAGGGGAGCATGGAAACCGTGGTGTCTCCCTCTCTGTCTGTCTGTCTGTCTCTCCTGTGCAGCATTATATCGCGTTTGGCTGCGACGGCGAGATGATAAATGTGGGGCTGCCCTTGTATGGGAGGGTATATTCGGGGGTGCAGCAAGGGCCTGACAAAGACGGCCTCTATCAGCCATTCCTTGCTGCCGGCAACGGCACACGGCAGCAAGAGCCCGGAATTCTCGGTCGGTCTGTGAGACACACACACACTGTACGGGTGTGTCTCCTTCTCTCTCACCACACACATACACACATGGATGGATGTCATGTCAGCGTATTGGGACATAGCGGCCAACTACATGCCCAGCACGAGCGGCTTCACGCGCCACTACAACAACAAGACACGTGTGCCCTACCTCTACAAACCGCCCTCATCGCCAAACGACACTCTCGGGGGCACATTCGTCGCTTACGACGACGATCACTCGTTGAAAGATAAGTTGGCATTGGCTGTGGAGCATGGTGTGGAAGGGCTGACTTTGTGGGAGGCATCTGACGACCGAGACAAGGTGCTGCTGGACGCTATCGTTGTCTACCTTGAGAGCGACGAGGTGCCGAAGAAGAGGAAGAGAAAGGGCTTCTTTGACGGGCTCGTTGATCGCATTATGAGGACGCTAGGACTTCGTTTCTAGCCAGCCTTGGCTATTTGAGAGTTGCTGTGCTGCTAGCTGACATATGTCGTATTCTCGTAGGTGGGTCGAGTGTGGGCTTCATTCGCTCTGTCAACATCGCATTCACTACTGGTCGATCAGCAGTGGGACAGACAGATCCATATCCACAGGCTTTGTCTCGCCCATCTCATCTCATCTCATCTCATCTCACGTCGCCTCACCTCGCACCCACACACACCCACACACTCCTTCGTTCCTTCGTTGGTTCAGCCATCGAGGGCCCTTCTCTGCACCAATGTCTTGAGCAGGGCCATTGCCGTGTTGACGCCATCCACTGCACTCGACACAATGCCCCCAGAGTACCCAGCTCCCTCACCTGACCATCGTACACACACATGACACACGCCCTTGTTCTCTCAACCTCAACCTCGCTTACCGCATGGAAAGAGTCCCTGTGTGTTGCAGCTCTCAAACGATGTGCCGTGCCGAAGGACACGGAGAGGCGCCGATGTGCGGCTTTCGATACCGGTGAGCAAAGTGTCGTCGGCAAAGAGGCCGTCCCTGCTGTGTGACCGCAGCAGCCCCCTGAGGGCATGGTGCAGCGCTGTCGTGATGAAGTCGGGCAGACACCCGTTCAGGTCGGTTGGCGTGCACTGCCCGAACACAAGACCTCTGGGTGAAGATCACAAACCAAACAGACACATACGGTGTGTGTGGGGGGGTTGTGTGTGCGGGGTGTCTGGGTGTGTCTGGCTCACTTGGGGAGGCCTTTGGATGGATTTCCGCTGAGGTAGTCGCCGAGCCTCTGAGCCGGGATGGAGTAGTCGCTGCCGCCCGCATGAAAAGCGGCCCTTTCCCAGTGCTGCTGGTACGCGAGGGCGTCCATCCCACTGCACTCGTCTTCACTCTTGCCCCAGTACCTTCAGGCATACACGGCGCGCACACGCGTTGATGTGCAGCCATTGAGTCTCACAGGTGGCTGTGTACCTTGCGACATCGTGTGTCTTGGTCTGGACGACCACAGCTGAGTTGGCGTAGCTTGACGAGCGGGTCGAATAGGACATGCCGTTGACGGCCACACAGCCGTCACCGTGACTCGAGTTGACGATGGTACCACCCGGGCACATGCAGAACGAGTAGACGCCTCGCCCATCAGCCGGGTGTGCCCTGGCGTATCGCCACACTGCCGCCCCGATTTCAGGCACGTCAGCGTGCTTGCCATACACCACTCTGTTGAGCGTCGACTGAGGCATTTGCAAGCGGAGTCCCATCGTCCAATCCTAACGCACAGCACACGTCAACACATTATGACGATGGATGGGTGTCTCTCCGTTCTGTCCATTGGTCAGTCGGTCACCTTGGGCGTCATCTTCACCCCTCCCTCGTGCAGCGTCCGATAGGTCGAGTGGGAGGAATGGCCACAGGCCACCACGCACAGGTCACTCACAATGTCGCACTCCCCGTACACAGCCTCACTCGTCAGACCGTCACCATCTCTCCTTCCCCCGTCGCTGCCATCCCGCCTCCACCGCACTCGCACACCAGTAAAGTGCCGCGGCGATCGTGATGAGTCAGAGCATTGTGAGACCTCGTGATCTGGGGCAGCGGCAATCACACCGGCATCCCGAAGCGGCGAAAATGCGGCCGGCAAGTAGGAGGGGGCTGGCTGAGAGTGACCACCGCTGTGGGAAGGGCGGAAGGTGGGGGCTGATGGCTGAATGTGCAGCTGTGTGACCTGGGTGTCGAAGAGAAATGTCACACCAAGCTGTTGGAGGCGTTTCCTGAACTCCGGCACAACATTGTACAGCACGTCGGTGCCCACGTGAGCCTTGCTCTCGTATAGACAGCTCTCGGCACAACCCAACTCGACGTACCTGCACGCCACGCGATCAAACCAGCACAGCACAGCAGACAATGCAACGCCCACAAACATGGCCGGCCACAGCTGACAATGTGCTCACGTCCTCAGTACGAAGTCCGTGACGTCGCTTCGATTTCTTGAGGTCAGCTTGCCATCGCTGAACGTCCCAGCCCCGCCCTCGCCAAACGCCGCATTGGACCAACAGTTGAGCCGGTTTCCATGCCAGAAGGCGAAGACATCCTTCCTCCGCTTGCTGCACTCAGACCCCTGATCGATCACCACTGGCCGCAAACCATTCTTAGCCAACACATATGCGCAAAAGAGGCCAGCTGGGCCACTACCGATGATCAGGGGACGGAGTGAGCGTGCCGCGATGGCGGCCGGAAGGGGCGGTGAGATGAAAGGGCTGAAGGGCTCGGATGCCTCGTAGAGGTCGACCTCATGCACCGTGATGGCATCGGGTGAGCTGCTTTCCACCTTGTTCCGTCGTCTTGGCGAGAAGGGGGGAGGGGAGGGGGTGGCAAGATCTGCTGCCACGCTGCTCCAGTTGAGGCCATTGGTGGCTTCAGCAGCAGCAGCAGCAGGGCCGATCGTCCTCTCTGGCCGTCTGGCACCGCCTTGATGCAGCTTCTGCAATGCGTGAAAGTGCCGCCACCGCTTCACGATGGCTCTGCATTCCAACAAAACAATCACCTGCACAAATTGTCGTTGTGGTTAATTGCAGGGAAAGACGCGCACCGTTCGTGTGCTTCAGATGAGAGCCTGAGTGCCACGTTGTAAGCGAATCGGACGCTCCTTTTCTCGATGACGTTGACGGACTTGCGCAAAACAAGACGCTCGAGGATCCTATGCGTCAAGCAGACCATAGATAGATGGCCAGGCACAGGCAGACCTCTCTTGCGCTCACTCTGACGCTTTTATTCCCAGGTGGCGAGCGATGAGATCTGTTAGCGGCACGCTACTGCCGACCTCCTGCTGCACGCCACGAAGCAAAAGCATCCCTTCCTCCAGCAGGAGATCTGTGGCGAGCTTCGGAGCGATCCCATCCTCAGCAAGGTTGCGTAGGCAGGTAGGCGGCAAGGGTGCCATTCACCATTGACCAGTTACCCGTGGGATGAGGAAGCGCGGTGCCAGCAATGGAGAGCCTGCCGAGGGCGGGCGTGTGAGCCGTCCGAAGAAGTATGTCAAGTATGTCAAGGACGAGGAGGAAGACGTTGACGACGACGATGAGGAGTCGGATGCGGAGAGCGGCGAGTACGCCGTCGAGCGGCTGCTGAAGTGCAGATATGATAGCGACGAGGTGGGTGCGACGGGTCAGCCGTGGCGGGCGGGGCAGGGCGGGGCAGGGGATGGATGGATGGATGGATGAGTGAATGCAATCAATGCACGTGAACACTGGCTACCTGGGTTGGTCAATATCCTTCTGTGGTGCTGGCTGGCGTTGGTTGGTTGGTTGGTTTGTGTGTGTGCAGGGTGTGTATGAGTTTCGTGTGCAGTGGGATGGCAAGGACTCCAAGGGCAAGCCGGTGGGTGTCCTGCACTCTCTGTACCGCCAACGTGCCGCGTACCTATTGATACGCCTGTTTGTGTGTGCCTGCGTGTACCTCAGTATCCGCCAACGTGGGAGCCTGAGGTGAGTGAGGAAATGAGTGAGAAAATGAGTGAGTGAGGAGTGGAAGAGGAAACCAGCCATCAATTCGTCAACGTCTTCGTGGCTTGGTGTGCGTGTGGGTGTATGTGTGTGTGCATCCAGCCTAACGTGTCGCATTTGACGGACGACCTGGGCCTCGTCCGCCAATATCTGAAGCAGAAAGTCATCGATACCGGCAGGGAGTTTACCGCGGTAAGCCAACCAGCCACCCAACACCAACACTAGCAGATACCAACTGACACAACACCCAAGTCACCCCCCTGCCCTTGTGTGTCCCTTCAGCCCCGCCTCACCGACGGGACGCTTCTGGAGATGCGTGAGTACCTCGGCGAGGCGGCCGCACCACCCCACCAAGCCGCAGCGTCAGCCGCAGCCCCTGCCAGCGACGCCCAGCCTGCCAACGCTGCCGGTTCGGCGGATGCCAGTGGCGCGGCGGACAAGGAAGAGGAGGAGGGCGACGGCGAAGAAAAGAAGGAGGACGAGAATGCCGCCATGGAAGAGCAGCAGATCGAAGAGGACCAGCAGCAGCAGCAGGCACCGGACGACCAACAACAGCAGCAGGTGGACCAGCAGCAGCAGCAGGGTGGGGGCCACGACGAGAATGTGGGCGACAGCAGCGACGATGCCGAGATCATTCGGGGGGCGGTTGAAGGTGGCAACGAAACGGCACAGCAGCAGCAGCAGCAGGAGGTGGAGGAGGGGGCGGGGGGCGAGGGGGAGAGAGGGGGAGAGGAACCGTCGCGTGCTGAGGGGGGTCGTGGTAGTGTTAGTGCTGGCGTGCAGGACCGCACCCCTGATGACGACATCATTCCACCTGGGAGCGAAATCGTTTCGTAAGCACAGGGATTGAGGGACGGAGATTGTGGGTCTGTCTGTCTGTCTGACCTTGCTGTGCTGTGCTGTGCTGTGTGTGTGTCAGGGTGGAGGGGACATCCCCCGAGACCGACTGGGAGTTGTGGCCGTGGGGGACGCGACACAGAATCAAAATGTAACCACACACACACACACGCACGCACGCACGCTCTCAAACTGTATTATTGTTGGGGTGTGTGTGGACTGGACACGTGTGTAGGCGTCTGCCTGACGGCGAGTTGCGTGAGTTCCACGTCACCAACACCTTCATGCGCCAGGACACCGGCCCCAAAGGACGTGTAAGCACAGCAACCCACATCAGAAAGAAACGTTGCAATTATAACCATGTGTGTGTGTGTGTGTGTGTGGATGACAGGCGTTGTTGGACTTCTACCAGCAGCGCGCACGCTGGGTTCCGAGCTCGGTACGGCCGTCGCGTCGAGATACACATCCATCCACACATCCATAGGCACTCAACGCATGCACACTCGTTTGCTCTCTCCCTGGCTCTCTCTGTCTCTGTTACCCCTCAGATCAACTTGCCTGGCGACCGCGCAAGAACGGGGTAGGGTAGTCTGTCGGGTCGGGTGTAGATGAACGGATGGGCTGGGCTGGGCTGGGCGGGAACACTGACTGTCTGACTTACCGTATGCTTGAACGGATGTATGATGCATGGGCGGGTAGGTGTTTAGCTCGGATCGGACCTTCACAGCCGATTTTTGCATCGCCCGAGAGAGTCATTCATTGATCGCCAGACGGTGGGCTGCCTGCCGGCCGGCCTCGTCTGTCTTCTGTCACGTCTCTGTCACGTGTGTGTGTGGGTGTCCCTTATGCACGCCACTCGTCAATGCCCAAGGCGGGAGGGATACTTCCCTTCCTGTTTTGGCCGTTGGCTGCAGGCGTCGCACAAGCGGCACACGCCACTGACTGACGTGCGTGACACACGAGAGGAGTGGAACACAACACAACACAACACATCAGAGGGGGTAGGGTAGCTGAGAGAGGTAAGGTACATGTGCCACATGAGAGGAGAGCAGAGCAGGGTGCAGAGAGATGGACGGACGGCCGTGTGACGTCTGTGGTGTGCATGTATGCTATGCGTCGGACACACATTTCCATGACCGTCGTTTCCCCGCCCCCCTATTGTGTGACAGTCTTACTGGCCTCATTCCCCCCCTCTGTCCGTCTGACTTCACACCGATCACCACACCCACACCCCGACTGCCCCACTCCCGCCCCGCCACACACCATGGACACCGCTCCCTCCCGCGGCCCATCTGCCGTCCTCGGCGGCGTCAACACACTGACTGGCGCGGGGCTCTCGGACGGCCCCGCCCGCACACCCAGCTCCGTCGGATCACCATTGCCATTCTTCTGTTCCTTCTCGTACTCGACGGCCCGCCTTCGGGGTGGCTTGTCTTTGGACAATGCCATCCGTGGTCGGCCGGTGCGAAGGGCTTCGAGCATGACGCAAGCCTTGCAGATGGGGTTGGAGCTCATGTAACCGCACCGCTCACACTGACGCGGCACGGTCGCGGGGACGGCGTCACTGTTGACGCGCATGTGAAGCGCAGAATGCAGAATGTCTGTCAGGCAAACATGACACACACGCGTTCATCGGGATGGCCGTGTGTGTGTGTGCGTGGCTTTTGTACCGACCGATGAGGAACTGTGGGTTGATGGCCTCGAGCTGTTTGATGAGGTCTCTTGCGTTGCCCCTGTATGCGTTGGGGGAGTAGATGCACTCGGTGCAGAAGTAGTCGAGGTGTTTGAAGTGGGCGTACATGACGATCTCCTTCTCGTACGCATACATCAGCGGCTTGCACCGCGGCAGCCCCCCGCCCTCCCGCCCCGTCATGATCGACGCGCAGCGGCCAAGACGCGCTATGTCACCTCGCAGCACTGCACACAATGGATGGATCGATGGATGGATGGATGGATGGATGGATTGCCATGTAGGGTGTGGGTGACCATCTGTCAGTCAGTCAGTGCGTTGTGTGTGTGTGTGCTTACTGTTCATGAGTACAGTTTCAGCACAGTCGTCTGCGTTGTGCCCGGTGCAGATCTTGTCGGCCTTGAGCATCACGGCGCCTCTGTCCAGCGCCTGACGACGGAATACGCCGCAGAACGTACCTTTTTGACATCAGACATACACATCATATCTGCAGTGAAGGCGCCTGCCTCAGTGTGGCCATGGCAGGTCATTCATCGCATCGTGTGTTTCTGCGTGTGCGTGCTGGGGTGGCCTACAGTTGTTCTTTTTGCCGATGGCGGCCACAATCTCGTCCATCGTCCAGCCGTACAGATCCTGCGTGACGGATACATGCGAGCATGCACGTGGTGTGGTGTGGTGTGTGTTGTCGCGCATTCCCTCCCTCCCTCCCCTCGTGCAGTGCAGTGCACTCACTCTCTCACCTCGTAAGAGACGATCTTGAGAGGGATCTCGTACTGCTGCTCATTCCTGACACACACACACGTGGGAGAGACCACCGTGGAATGAGCAAGGTAAGGTGCGATGTCCGGCACCATCCAGCCATCCATCGGTACGTGAGTGCCTATCAGCCCGCTCAGCTCACCGCTTGACCGTCTCTAGTGAGTCATCCCGGTACCCCTGCACACACGATACGACGCCATGCCATGGATGCATTGCACACACAGAGTATGCTCGTCGTGTCTGTCTGTCTGTCTGTCTGTCAGACGGTCACTGACCGTGATGCCCTCATCGACGGCGAGCAGGAAGAGGTCCAGGCCATAGTCATGACGCCGGTTCAACGTCGTCAGCACATGAGCCAACACCGTCGAATCTGACACCATGCACACAACAAACACACACCTCTCCCTCCCTCCCTCTCTATGCCATCTATCGAGTTTTCCCAACGTGTGTCACCTTTTCCGCCCGACACGGCGACAGCAATGCGCTCGCCGCGTTTGAAGAGGGCGTTGGTGACGATGGTGTGGTGAGTTTCGTCCTCGAATGCGCGGAAGAAGCACTCCTTGCAGATGGCCTCGTGGGTCGACGGACGCCGAATGGACGCCCTAGCGCTGTGGCAGTACACACACGTCCTCACCATCACCTCTTTCCTTGCTTTTTGGCTAGGGCGACTGTTTTTGTTTCCCGGCGATCTCTTCCCGGAGGCGGGGCTTCCCATGGCCGAGCAGAGGATGCGTCTTCTTCTGCGGTTCCCTCTTTTGCAATGCTGTTGCAACTTGAGGCCGACAGGATGAACTTCCGATGAACTTCCGATGAAGCATTAATTGCAATCCGTGTGTGAGACCGACAGAGCTTTGAGGCCGCATGCAGTGGTGCGTGTCCGTGAGATGCACTCGGTCAAACACACTCAATTGCATATTCATGCTTGTCAGGTCTTGTCCAATCGATCACTTCATTAATTCATCGACCATGCAGCCCGTCATTCACCGGCCAGTAGGGAGTCTTCTCCCCACAACCGATGAACCACACATCGTCCATCAAGACAGCCAGCCAGCCACTCACCATCCATTCACCTCTCCTTGCCTTGTGGTTCACTGCTGCCGCCCCCATCCGACTGCCGACCTGAATCTGTCAAAGATGCTCTGCTGGGTCTGTGTCTGGTCTGTCTGTCGGCCGCTATGGCTGCGGCCTCGCTCTCGTGCCGGACCAGACGATCGCGTGGTGTGTCGATGCACCGAATGCATTGGAAATAGCGCCTCCCAGTCGCCAGCAGAGACATGCCCTCCCGTCTGTGTCTGTGTCTGTGGGGGCCGCTGCCCGCCCGCCCCATCAGCCTCGGTCCGTGGGTACTGGTTGATCCAATAGCCAGAGGGCGTCGCGTAACGGTGCTGCTGCTGTACTTGCTGCTGCCGATACACGTACTGATATGGCTGCCGATACACCGGGGGCGGGGGCGGAGGTGGCAGAAGTGGATGATAGTGATACACCCGCTGCACTGGGACCTGCTCAACCAAGAACCCCCCCGTCGTCTCATAGACTCGCTGGCTGGGGCCGCCATCCTCAGGAACTCTGAACGGCGGCATATTGTCGTAGTCGATGGGCTCAAACAGCGCAGGCGGCTCAGGCATCGGCGGAGCGTACACAGGGGCAGGAGGCTGGTCGTCTGTGGGCGCTGTGTCACCACGTGGGGCGGGGGGTCGCTCGGCAGCCTCACGGGGGGTACGCTGAGGAGTCTGCCTGTCCTCTTCGCGAGGCGACTGCGCCGCCGCTAAGTTGGCCGTCGGGGCGGGCTGCTGCTGCTCCTGCGATGATGGTGCGGCCTCCACTGGGGGCTGTCCAGGGGACGGTGCCTCGTAGATGGTTGGGAGGGTTGTGGGTTGCTGCCCACGCCCGCCCCCAGCCGCACGACCACCGTTGGCAGATGTGGCCGCCGGAGCCGTCTGCTGCTGTTGCTGTTGGTCCTGTCTCGAGGATGTGTCGGGGCCTGTCTGTGGACCCCCATTCTCGGAGAGTGGCGGAGGTGTCGGGCCGTAGATGCGCTGCTGCGCCTCATTGATGTTGGCGATGCGCGAGAGGGTGCGGAGTTTGAAGTCCTTTTCTTCCTCGAGACGATGCTTGCGCTTGTCGTTCCTGGTCGTGTTGGAATCCTGAGAAGGGGTGGATATGCGGCAAGGCAAGAGAGACACGTGTCACGTGCTTGTGTGTATTGGTCGACTGCTGCGTACTATCTGGTAAGCGAGTATCTTGGTTGGCAGGTCCTTGAATATTCGCTGCGATTCAATCCATAACGGAAGAGCCATTTATCGCCCCCTTTGTGTGTGTGTCAGTGTGATGTGCATTCACCTTGAGCTTTTCGTAGTGTCCCGGCAGCCATTTCTTGCCGGTGTACCATGCGATGAAGGGCAATCTCTCGATCTTCAGAGTCTTCAACGTCTCCAGCTGATGAGCCGAGCCACCGGTGAGGTGAGCAAACAAAGATCCAAGGGATGAGGTGTCTTCCTGTCTTCCTTGCTTGTCGGGCAGGCCACTAACCGTGTCATATCCCGACTCAATCAGCTGCATGCCGATGTGTATGGGCAGTCCCTGCTGCAGCAGGAAGTGCATCACCTTCTGACGCTCCTCCACATGCTCACCGCCTGACCAACCAATCGCACACACAGCACAGCCAGCCACGGCCATGCACACAATGAGTCAAGAGAGAGAGAGAGAGAGAGAGGCACCTCTTTCGGGTGTACTCTGTGAGAAGAGTTTTGCAAAGTCTTCCCCGACGTGTGAGGGGAAGTGTTTGACCATCAGATTCATCGTCAGCATCGGCGTGTTCGGACTCAGACTGTTGCGAGCCTCCTAAGGAAAACACCCAACATGCACAAGACACAGCACCTAAACCTACCTTCCCATGCGTCTCTGCAAGTGTACCTGGTGGAGCATTTTGGTGAGTGTGTTGAGGCTGCCCATCTGCTCGTTGAGCGCCGCCTCCCTCGGCACCTTCGGATGCTTCTTGCGAAAAAGTGGCTCCTCCTCTCTCTCAGTGACATCCCTCTTCGCCGCCCCCCGATCTGCAGGCTGAGGAGGGGGAGGGGACTCTACCGGCGCCTTCCTCATGCCAAGCCAGAGGAAGCTGGGCCGCCGTTGCTGCTCCTGTTGCTGCTGCTGCTGCTGCTGCCGGCGATGGTGGTCGCCCCCATCGGGTCCGTGACCCCCCGCAGCCAAGGCTGACGACGACCGACGTCGTCGGGTGTGTCGCACCGGGTCGAATGGGGGGGCGTGCAGGGCCTCATCAGCTGCACACACACACACGTACATACCAGAGAAGGCGTGCGGTCTTCCAGGAGGCAGCTTTGCAACGGGATTTGTGTGTTTCCCTTCGAGGCTCACCGACGAGGTCGGCGTAATCGTCTGGAAAGGCAGGCCCCGCTGTGGGGCGGCTTGTTCGCCGAGCCATCGGCGAGGGGAGCTCGGAGAGAAGCCCCCTACGGAACCGAAGGGAGTGCTAGCTTGGCCCCAAAAGTCGGCGGGACCCACACCTTGGATCGAGGGCCGGTCTTGCGCTTGGATTCTGGGCAGCCCTGGGCTGGCGCCAGCCGTCGTTGCTTGCAGGGAGGAGATAGCGGTCTGGGTGGGTTCTCAGAAAGGCCGCCACAGCACGTACGTCTGTCGGATAGAGATTGAGTCAGTGAGACATGCGAAGCGGCGATCACTTCTGTGGCTGACTTGCTTGCGGGAGGGGCTATTCGTTCGTTTCCTGCGGACGGGAAACCCAGATGCTCGAAGGCGAGCTTTCGATGGATTCATGAGGTTTCTCTTTCCTGACTTCTGAGCGCCCTTTCCATTCCCTTCGAAGGGCGGCAGTGTGTCGCTGTGTGTGTGTGTGTGTGTGATAGCAGCTGTTGTGTGCAGTGCAGTGCAGAGGCGGGTGGGTGTGACTTGAGACACGATTCAGCTGTGTGTAGGCGAGGGGCCTATGGCATGCATGATGGGCGGGGCTGTGTACGTCGCATAGAATGAGCTGTACAAGTAAGCAAGCAGCCCAGCAGCCCACAGTCTGTCAGTCAAGACGCCACTAGACACCGCCCACCGGCCGGCACTGACTGTCGTTGGTTGCATCTCGCACACCTGCCTGCCATCCATTCATGAGAGGCCGTGACTGACAGAGCAGCACTTGCACCCGCAGCCATCGCATCTCGCCAAGGATGCAACCAACGCTACATCTAGCTCCGCCACGCACTTGTGGATGGTGGGCACCCATCCCTGGCAGGCATCTCCGTGTCTGGTCTGGCGCATCTAACTACTTACTGTCCCAGCAAGTGCTCCAGCCGCTCATTCCCGCCTGCACACCACACCACCACACATCGAAATGGATGGATGGGCAATGGATGGCTGGAGGGATGGATACTCATCGGTCGCTGTGTTGGTGTCGTGTGTGTATTGTGCTGGCCTGGCGCTGACCGACCGTTGGGGTCTATGTTGAGGCTGAAGATGTCGTTGGTGGGGTCGTCGTCCAGGGCGCACCACACGTACGTCACGTGACGCTGAAACAAACGCCGGTAGTCGAGCACATGCGCCTGCAGCCCACACACACACGCACATTAACATCTGTGTGTGTGTGTGGTCGGTGTGAGGATACTTAGGCACCCACCGGTGCGTAAAACTTGAATTGGTCGGAGTTGTTGGTCACCAGAATGCCTCGTTTCTGCAACACCTTGTCCACCATCAGCTTCACAACTGCACACAGGCACACACGCAGGCAGGCACCCACCAGACCCATTCATTGTGTGAGTGAGAGTGTGCGTGTGGCTGCTCACTAGCTCACACACTGACTCACTCTGTTTGTTCTTCCTCAGGTTTGGGTTGTACTGCCCGCGGTCGCCCAGGTCTTTCTTGTGCCACAGTCGGTCCCCCTCCATCTCGCCCACAAATAGCAGATGGTCGTCGCGCAAATTCTGACACACGGACGACAAGACAACCGATCCAATCCACCGATGGGATGGATGTATGGCACTCACACGCACACACACACACGCATGAGCCCATTGTATCGTGTGTGTGGGTGTGGTGACTGGCTTGCTAGCTAGCTTACGTTGAGTATGCTCCTGTTTTCCTGTACGATCTTCTTGGTCTGCACCCATTCGTCAGGCGGCTGGTAGAATAGCCAATGGGGACACCAAACCTGACACAATACAACACAACACAATCCAACAAATGACACACACACACAGAGACCGGCCCTCCCTCCCTCCCTCCCTCCCTCCCTCCCCCTCTCTGCCGAGCGTCCTTGCTTACGGCCACGGGGTTTTGTGAGCCGATTTCTCTGACGATGGTCTCGACGGCCTTGGCCACGCCGTAGTGGCAGTACTGGTCCCTGCTGCCGTCGCAGCGCATGTTGGCGTAACGCCTCGACACGTCCTCCAAGTCTATAAAGACGGGCACAACCCCCGGACGGCCCTGCACAACGCAACAACACAACACAGAATCGACACACGCATCGCATCCACGGAATTAATTTGATTGTATGCATTTTTATAGATCTGGGCTGACCGACCAGCTCCATCAATTTGGGTATGGTGAGTGCCCGCCACGGGGCCTCCCGGATTTCACGCGGCTCCAGCTCACGCCGGGGGGCTGGCGAGGGAGTGGGCGGGGTGGTGGGAGTGCCGTCCGACGTCCGATGATGAGTGGAGGGACCCTGGTGCACGACGGCTGGACGAGAGGTCACTGCAGTGCCGCCACTGTGAGAGGAGGATGTGCCACTGAAATATCCAACACACAGGGGAAACGACACATACAGAGGACATGTGCCGTTGTTGCGCATTCACCACCCATACTTGAGGAGGCCGGCGGTGCTCATGCCACCAGCAGCAGCAGGGCCACCACCACTACCAGTGGCAGCGAAAGCATCCTGACTCACCCCGTCGACCTGCTGCGGCTGCAGGCCACCACTGCCCGCCCCATTGAGGTTCTGGTCCTCAGGCGTGACGCGCCGCAGTGCTATGACGAACACGTCCTCCGGTCTTGGCCCCCTGCAGCCGATGGCCACGCCCTCCGGCCAGTGGAGCCGCATCGGGATGCCCTTGTGGTCGAAATCAACATACGGATCTAAGTGAGAGTGATGCACACGGCAGCAGACAGACAAACAACAACACACAACTAACTTGGATGTGTGTGGTGTGCTGACTGGCATCGTGTCGTCTGTGTGTGTGTACCTCCAGACACGCCGGTGAAGTGGGCTTCATAGGCGGATTCGATGATGATGCTGTTGACCTGCTCGACGGAGAACCATGCGCTTTCGTCGTTGAGCCGGTCAGCGTCCTCCAAGTACTGCCAGTGGATGCCATACATCACTCACTCACGCACCGAAATGGCAGGCAAGAACCGCCGTTGCTTCTCAACTCTTCGTTCGCGAAACCCATTGATCAGATTGGCAGGCAATGTGATGTGCGGATTGTTTCCATTGGAAGTGACGTGATCTGGCCTTTTGTGTACTTACCTACACACGTACGTCTCGACACCCTCGCCTCCCCTCGATCAGCACCTTGCCATTGCTTCTCTTCCCCGCCTGCCTGCCTGCCTGTGTGTGTGTCTGTCTGTCTATCTGCCTACAGGTCGCTCTCCCAGCAGACGACCAGGTAGGTAGCTAGCTGCCCACACGCACGCACCGACCGACTGCTCTGCATGGCTTAATTGTCTAATGGTCGTCTGTGCGCACTCACGCCTTGCCTCTCTGCATCTGCATCAGTGGCGTGTCGAGGCAGGTGACGTGTGCATCATGATGTATGTGTGTCCAATCAAACGATCGATTCATGCCGTCAACGAACGGACGTACATAGTGTGCTCACACACAAGAGGGTCCAATGGTGCTCACACGAGGCAGCCAGGCAGGCAGGCAGGCAGGCAGGCAAGCACATGGGCACGGCAGCAGCCCGTCAACAGCTATGCAGGCAGGCAGGGAGGCAGGCAGGCACCCGCACCCGCCACGCAGGCGACCGGAGGCTCCACGCGGACTAGCCAGGTTCACGCTGCAAGCGGACAAGAATACAGAAAGCGACAATCCTCGACTCGTCTGGTTGACTTCAACCAACATGTCCGTCTGTCTGTCTGTCTGGGTGTGTGTGGTTGGTCAGTGTGCAGTGCATCCGATATGGCCATGTGGGGTCATACACAAACGCTGACCCTCCTGCTCCTCTTGCTGCTCATGGTCCTGCTCATGGTCATATAGCTGTTCCTCTCCCTCCTCATCCTCATCCTCCTCGTCTTCCTCCTCCATCGGCTGGTCCTCTTCTTGCTCCTCCATGCCCATGCCCTCCATCTCACCATCAGCACCATCAGGGCTCTCCTCCTCTAGCAGCTCGCCGCCCTCATGGTCACCCTCGCCCTCATCCCAACTCTCGTCCACTCCCTCATTGTCATCCTCCCCCTCTCCCTCTCCCTCTCCCTCTCCCTCCATGCCCACATCACCGTCACCATCACCAGCACCGGCACCATCGTCCGCAGCCGCGCCAAACATGGCCTCCTGGTCCTCACCGCCGGCCACGTCGTCAGGGGAGAAAGCCTCTTGTTCGGCGTCCTCCTTCTTGGGCATAGCGAGTGTGCCGAAATCGGATGGGAGGACGGGGAGAGCAGTGCCGTGGAAGAGGTGGCTGTTGTCTGGCGAGCTGCCACCACCGTGCCGGCGGCGTCGTTTTCTGCGGGATGACCGGTGCGGTTTGCGGTCGGCCTTGTCATGCTTGGAGAGGAAGGGGAGAAGGTCACCTGTCAGGAACTCACTCAGGGCGCGGGGCTTGAACCGCCGGCGCGGTGGCAGCTGGCCCCCGCTGGCATCCCACTGGATGTCGCCCCCGTGATGGAAGAAGTCTCCCCCCTCCTCATCGTCGTCACCGCCCTCCATGCCCTCATTCATGTCATCGCCAAACAGGAAATCGTCCATGTCCCTCTCGGCCGCTGACCGCTTCAAACGGCGCTTGCCTCTGCGGCCGCCGCCCCGACCCACAGATGGGAGGAGAGGGGGCTGCTGCTGCTGCTGCTGGTGGTGCTGCTCGTAGCCTGCGAATGGGTCGGTGTAGCCGGGACACTCGAGCCCCTCCTCACCGTAGTCCATCTGCTCCATGCCGGCCGTCTCGTCATACGGCTCGTCGGCATAGCCCGCTGCAGCAGCTGCGGCCGCTCCTGCTGCGAAGAAGGGGTCGTCAGGTGAGAAGGCCTCTTGTCCGGGGTCCTTCTTCCTGCGGCCCCCCCTGCCCTTGGGCCGCTTCTGGGGCGGCTGGACGGCGAGTGCAGGGTGGTCCTCCGGCAGGCCCTCCATGCCCTCCTCAGCACTGTAGCCGACGACGTAGCCCTCCAGGCTGGCGTAGGCCTCCTCGTACAGACCCCTGGCCAAATGCTCATGCTGCTGCTGCTGCTTGGTGGCCCTGATCTTGGCCGCACGCTTGCGGCGCCCGGCCCCTCGGGAGGAGGCGAAAGGGTCGTCGTCGTTATTGCCATCCTCGTCCTGGCCGTCGTCGCGATAGCGGGCGGGATTCTGCCGACGCCGCGAGCGAATGGTGTCGATCATGGTGGAGCCACCCACACCCCTCACACCACCCGCAACACCCATCGCAGCAACACCAGGTTCCTTCTTCACTACTGCTGCTGCTGCTGCCGCGGCCTCCCCCTCGTTTTTCTGCTCCTCTGCTGCCGCGGCTGGCTGGTCGCCCCCACCCGCCTCTGCGGTCGTCTGCTGTGCGGGTGCGTCCGCCACGACCACCTGGATCCACCCCCGAGCACCGCTCTCCTGCTCGTCGTCCTCTGCCTGCCAGTCGTCATCACCGTCGGGCTTGTGTGTGAACCGGCCGCCCGAACCCCGCCACAGCACCCGGGACATACTGCCCTGCCGCCGACGGCCTCGCTTGGCGCTCGCCTCGGCCTTCGCCTTGGCCTTCCGCTTGGGGTGGTGCTTGGGGGCGGTGGTGGTGGTCTTTCTCTTCGGTGGAGAGGGGCTGCGGAGAGAGGCGCGCAGCTGGGGCAGGGGGATGGGGTGCATGGATGGCGACGCGGGCAGCTCCTGACTGTGCGGCATGGCAAACAGAAGCCGGTGGCGGGGCTCGGGGGAGGAGCCCGATGTGTCAGAGTGGCTGCCGGTGCCCATGAGGATGCGCTGCGCGGCGGTGGTGAGGGACAGCCCTGACCCGGGGAGGGCGGTGGGCAGAGTGGGGAGCGTCAGAGGGATGGTGTTGAGCTGACGCTGCTGTGGCTGCTGCTGCTGCTGCTGCTGGTGCTGCTGTTCCTGGCCCCCACTGCCCGCTTCCTCCTTCTTGGCGCGCCTGCCCTCCCTGCCCTTCTCGTGTTTCTTGTCCCGTTTGCCCTTGCTGCCGGTGGTCGCGACTTCCGCACCCCCTCGGCCAGCCACCCTCGGACTCCTCCTCTGGCCCACAACTGCCACCCCATCGCCTTTGCCCTTGCCACCTTTCTTGCCCTGGGCAGGGGGTGGTGCTGGCGGTGCTGTTTGTGCTGCTGGCGTGGGCCCGCCGTTAAGGTGCGTGTACATGTTGGCTGTGTGCGGGTGCTGCGCGTAGAAGACGGCGAACGGGTCGTGGGAGATGGGGGCAAAAGGGGAGTAGGTGGCGGTGGCCATGGGGAAGCAGCTGGGGGTCTTGGGCTTCCCGTCTGGGGCTGCTGGGTCAGTGCTGGCCCGCTGCATGGATACCGGCGGGTGGCTGCCGCCGATGGGGTACTTGGCTGTGAAGGTGGGGGGCATGGAGGGGTAGCGGTAGAAGGGAGACGCGGTAGTAGAACCATCAGGACCTACACCAGGGCCGTTGCTGCATCGAGAAATCATGATATATAGAGGGAGGGAGAGGCCTTACACGTGGATTGGATGGGTTCTGGGTGTTTCTGTGTGTGGTTACCCACCCACCCTGGGTATGACTGTGCGAATGGAAAGCATGGCCCACTGGGGGCGCGGTACATGCCATGATACACGGGCTGCGAAGTGCTGACGCACACAAAGCACCATAGATAGATACACCAGAAGCAAGCAATACAGGACCCAGGAAGACAGCCCCCTTCCTGTTGCTGTGTGTGCAGTGGCGTGTCTGCTCTCCTCACCCTTGTGTCTGTCCTGCGTTGGCGGCGGCCGACCCTGACCCATCAGAGCCCTTCGACTGACCCTTAGGCAACTCAACACTGATGGGCAAGAGCAAAACAGGCAGAGAGGAAGGGTGAAGCGGCCGTGCCCACTTCGGCTGTACGACCATGTGTGTGAGCGGCTACCTCAGCGCTGTCATCTTGTTGGACTTTCCTCCCTGCAAATCAACAACTGACTTCTGACCAGCCGGGGGCACGGCCGGCTGCACAAGCTTCACGTTCCTGCACAGCACACCGGCATCACACACAAGACACCCCACCCGATGCCATGCCTGGCACACTGAGTGGGTGCATCGTCCATCCGTGGATCTCACCCCTCATGGAGCCCCCCGGCTGGCGGCTTCCCGCTGGCCACTAAGGACACCTTCCCCGGCGACCTCGCTCCCCCCGCTCCCCTAGCCACCAGCCGGCTCGGCGACGGGCCCCGAGATATAATCGAGGGCTGAGCTGACATCGGGTGGAGCGGATACGTGGTCACAGGGGAGAGGGTGGTCGCGTACGCACCCCTCTGCTGCTGCTGTTGTTGCTGCTGCTGCTGCTGTCTGTCGGCATCGACTTGCTGCGTGAATGCCCTCAGAGCGGCGAATGGCTCGGGGTTGGCGTGGTGGGCAGCGTTGGGTGAGGTGGCCGAGCCGCCTGTAGCAGAAGGGCTGGGATCCTGCTGATCGTCCTTTGGGCCAGGCACCACATGCATGATGGGGTGCTGGGCTGCGGCAGTCGACGTCAGGGGCAGAGTGGTGGGGGTCACCTTGGCTGCGTCCATTGCGGGAGGGAGGGGGAGAGGGCGATAAGGTGGGTGAGTTCGGTATCAGAACAGAGCACAAAATCAGTCAGCACAGTGCCGCTGTTCGTTCCTTAAGCTGCGATGTCGTTCAGGCAGGTCTTCTTAAGATAGAGCTTCGATTGGTGTTGCGTTGCATGCACCAATCAGGGCCTTATAGCAGCGAGAGAGTCCTCGATAGATACGCATGCAAATCAAATCAGCCGGCAGCTGAGCTGGCGAATCACTCGAGCGCGACTCAGGCTCGGCTGAAAGGCAAAAAAGCAGACAGGAAGAGATGAAAAGTGCGTATTGAAGACTGAAGAGCAGCGTGACGATGCCTTTGCCCACCTGGTGTCCACTCACTCAGGCGAGGCGCATCGGCAATTGAAAGGGCGAAAGCTCAGGCGAGCGATTTGGACCCCTTCTGTTCCAGAGCACTGTGAAGCGGCCCTGGGACTCTGTCGGGCCGCCATCCGTCCAACATTTTTCGCGCAAATCGCGAGCTATAAAAACTGAAACCCTGTGGGTTTTGAACCCTGCGCATTTGCTCTCGGTTTTCATAGAGCGCCGGCAGCATGGTAGCATGGACAACGTCCTTCACAAAACTCGGGTTCATTGCATGAATGTATGAATATATGCACCCGTACAGGTATCACCTTAGAACAGGGGAAGAGGCGGGAAGCTCATCGGTGCACCCGTTGGCTCTCCCATGGTCTTCCCCAGCCTGTTCCACGATGACACATAGCGGCCATGCATCATAATGGAAGTCACCTGACTGCACTGCACTGCAAGATAAGAAAATAGCCCA